AAGCCGTTTTGAAAAATCACTTTTAGTTTTTGAGAAATGAATTTTTGAAGCGATCGACAATTTTTTCAAATTATGCAATTTTCCCCATTAAATTTTAATAATTCGTATAAAATCGATTTTTTGGAATATGAGTATAAAAATTTCCCAAAGTGCTAATAAAAGTGCCCTCTTTCCAATGAACCAACCCGTATTGAAAAATAACTTTTAGTTTTTGAAAAAACAATATTTGAAGTTTTGATGAAATTTTCGATGTTGCAATTTTCATTGATAATTTTCAAAATTCGCTATAAAATTAATTTCTTGAAAAATCCTTATGGAAATATCACCAATTATTAATTAAAGTATCCTCTTTTTACTGTAAAAAGCCGTTTTGAAAAATTACTTTCAGTTTTTGAGAAATAAATTTTTGAAATAATCGACAATTTTTTGGAATTTTGCAATTTTCGCCGATTAAATTTTAATAATTCGTATAAAATAGATTTCTTGGAATATGAGTATGATAATTTTCCAAAATGTTAATAACAGTGTCCTCTTTCCAATGAACCAACCCGTTTTGAAAAATTACTTTTAGTTTTTGAGATAACAATATTTGAAGAGTGCAAAAATTTTCGATGTTGCAATTTTCATCGATAATCTTCAAAATTCACTATAAAATTAATTTCTTGAAGGATCCTTTTGGAAATATCACCAATTATTAATTAAAGTGTCTTCTTTTTAATGCAACAAGCCGTTTTGAAAAATCACTTTTAGTTCTTGAGAAATAAATTTTTGAAATGATCGAAAATTTTTTCGAATTATGAAATTTTCGCCGATTAAGTTTTAAAAATTTGTATAAAATTCATTTCTTGGTATATCAGTTTGAAAATTTCACAAAGTGTTAATAAAAGTGTGCTCTTTCCAATGAACCAACACGTTTTGAAAAATTACTTTGTTTTTGATATAACAATATTTAAAATTTTTGATCTTGCAATTTTCATCGATAACTTTCAAAATTCGCTATAATATTCATTTCTTGAAGGATCCTTGTGGAAATATCACTAATTATTAATTAAAGTATTCTCTTTTTAATGCAAAAAGCCGTTTTGAAAAATCACTTTTAGTTCTTGAGAAATAAATTTTTGAAGTAACCGACTATGTTGCACTAAAACTAGAACTAACACTAGACCTAGAACTAGAAAGCATCGGGTTTAGCCGTCTTGAGAGACGTACTTTCTAGTACTAGGTCTAGTGTTAGTTCTAGTTTTAGTTCAATGAAAAATATGCAACAATNAACTCTTTAAAATTTACGATTCGCGCAAGCGCCTTCGCGACATGGGGGCACGACAAAGACAAAACATATATCATTCCGTCTGCCTTTGATGGAAATGCTCGCCACTCATTGCTTAGATAGCGAGTCAGCGATATAGGAGATAGTATATATATGGCTAAACCCAAATGATTCTAGTTCTAGGTATAGTGTCAGTTCTACATAGTTTTAGTTCAATAACAATACACAACCTAAGGCTATATACTGCCTTCTAAAGACTAAAATTGCTTTCTGAAGACTAGATACTGCTAACAGGTCTAAATACTGCAAAGGAAAGATAAATATTTTGGAGAAAATATACATAACTTTGGCAAAAGACTAGATACTGCTTCTAGAAGACTAAATACTGCTTTCTGAAGACTAGATACTGCCGACAGGTCTAAATACAGCGTCTGGAACACTAAATACTGCTTTCTAAAGACTAAAATTNATTCGCTATAATATTCATTTCTTGAAGGATCCTTGTGGAAATATCACTAATTATTAATTAAAGTATTCTCTTTTTAATGCAAAAAGCCGTTTTGAAAAATCACTTTTAGTTCTTGAGAAATAAATTTTTGAAGTAACCGACTATGTTGCACTAAAACTAGAACTAACACTAGACCTAGAACTAGAAAGCATCGGGTTTAGCCGTCTTGAGAGACGTACTTTCTAGTACTAGGTCTAGTGTTAGTTCTAGTTTTAGTTCAATGAAAAATATGCAACATTCTAATGGTGAATAACAACGGCTAAATCCGAATGTTTCTAGTTCTAGTGTTAGTTCTAGTTTTACACTAACATTTCACTACTTGTTTAGCGTTAGATTGTGGTATATGTTTATTGAACAAAAAGTAGAACTAACACTAAAGCTAGAAACATTCGGAGTTAGCCGTGCGTTTCTTAAGACGGCCGAAAATTCAGGGTTATCATAAAGACTTACTTTTTACTAGCCTTTTTTATACTTCTACTACCCATTTTATATAGGACAGTGCAAGTGCATAGTAGTTTCGTAACTATAGTTGCTGCATTCATATATTGCGAGTCAAAAGTGAAATTCCCTGTATATATTAAAAACTACAAAAAAAGTTAATGTTTTATAATTTAATGTAAAATAATACAAATACTAATAAAAGTTATGCAATACTCTTCGGATTGTTTTAAGTGGTCGTTAAGCTAATCTTTATTTAATAAAAACACGGATTTATAACAGGCTTTTGTGATGATAGCATATATATAAAAAAATATCAATATTAAATGGAATGTTTATACACAAAATAAACTCTCAAAGGACCGGATAATATACAGTGCTTCTCGAAAGTAACAGATAAATTCGTTAAAATAATTAAAAACGGTTTATAGAAAAATCGCTGACATGATTTTATTTTTTTCAAATAGCAATCCCCATTTTTATTACGGAGTATGAAAGGGGATTTTTTCTGAATTCGGTACAGCCAGAATTAATATTAGTTGCAGAAGAAAATTTTCGAAAAAAATTGCCTTAAACTTTCGTGATTTTCCATTCATTGGAGGTAGAAAAATAGCAGTAGCAATGCGTAACCATGGCAACCAGTTGTTTTAGATATTTTATTAAAACAATGATTAATTTTTGATATCTGAAACAGTTGGCTACGAATAGCTACTGCTGTTTTGCTATCTTAAATGAATGGAAAATCATGAAACTTTAACATAATTTACCTCGAAAATTTTCTTATGCAACCAATATTAATATTAGCTGTACTAGATTCAGAAAAAAGTTCTCTTTCATATTCCGTAATAGAAATGGGGTATTGCCATTTGAAAAAAATATCGATGACGTCATTTAAAAATGGCAGAAAAAATTTAAAATCTATACCAATTGCAAAAAATTTATATCTTTAGACCCATTGAGGTCTTATATATAATGTTTAGACCCGTTTCAGCGATTTTTCTATAAACTGTTCTTAATTGATTTAACGAATTTATCCGTTACTTTTGGGACACCTGTATAATTAAATATTATTCATTACAGGCTTATTATGCTCAAAGATAAGTTAGTTGTTACAATGGAATAGTGTTAAATAAAACAATCCCTTGAAGTTAGTTATATTTCTTTTACAATATTAATAATATAGAATATTAATAAAAGTTATACTTATAAAATAAATTTCAAATACATTATTTATACCTAAATAAACGCTTTAAAGAGTTACCAATGTTACTGAAAAAGTTTGTAATGCTAAAGTTAAATCCCCGATTAACATTGGATGGTTCTCCAAAAACGTAAACATCCGGATCTTCAACTTTGACTGAATCTTTAATAATTGAGTTTGATACTGATTGACTTCGTTTATGACCAATTGGATTCCTAGATAATAAATGCGATCTTAACGGAAATAAGCTATCTTTTTTTGATGAGCAAAACTTCTTAGATGGACTCTCCGAGTACTCTTCATCAAATTTATAAAACGTTTCATTTAACAGTCGTTTTCTTTGCGGTACGCAAGGACTTAAATCAACTTCGTTATACTGATTCAAATTTTTGTAATGAGCGGGTTTTCTCAAAGAACTTTCTTTCCTTAAAGTCATCCTATTCAGTACCGCTTTCGTTTGAGCATCTTTTAAAGTGGTGATCCACTTGGTAAATTCTTTAGGTTTTTCAATAAAAATCATCACATTTTCGTTTTCACAGCTGATATGAATATTTCTCGAAATAACTTTTTCGACAATTTTACACGACGCCAACGGATAAATCATCTCACATTTCAAACAATTTTTCGTTTTGACCGTTTTCTTTTTAGTTTTACAAAATAAAATAATATCGTTTAATAAAATTAAATAAATAGGACAAACACTAGAAGCTACTATTTTTAAAACGGGACCTTCGTGGATAAGAAATCGACCCGGTTTTATTATAATCGGTTTATTATCGATTAACGCCGTTTGAATTTCAACTAAGCGAATACTGTTTTCTTTTTGCTCGACCAATGTATCGATGTGTTTCGCGGATTTTTCAACTTCCTTTAAAGATTGTTTAATATCATCGTAATCGTCTTCGTTTGGTTTGCTGTGGTCTAAAATTTGTTTTAATAGGAGACAATAACGTGGAACTCTTTGAATTGGGGTTATTAATAATGCAGAGAGTTTTGATTGAACTTCCGGGCGAGATTCTTGGTTTTCAATAAATTTGTAGAATTCGTAATTATTTTCTTCACTTTTCTAAAAATATAATTTCATTTAGTTAGGTAGGTAGCGCTAGTTAGCATAAGATATCACTATGTTGCATATTTTTATTGCGCTAAAACTAGAGCTAACACTAGCCCTACAACTAGAAGGTCTAGTGTTAGTTCTAGTGTGTCTTCTAGTTCTAGGTCTGGTGTTAGTTCTAGTTTTATACTAGTACTATTACTATGTAGATATGTAGATGTGATACTTTATGCAGAAGACTAAAACCTGCTGGGAGAAAACTAGATTCTACGGACAAAAAATTATATATCGCTAACAAAAGAACGGATGGTGCTAGTGAAAAGCTAGCTACAATACGCTACTACGATAGTGTTTGTTAAAGATGAATTACTGCTTGCAGAAGACTTGATATTGCGGATAAAAGACTAGATACTGCTTCAAGAAGACTAGATACTCCTTCAAGAAAACTAAATACTGCTTGCAGGCTTAATATTGCGTGCAGAATATTTAATACTACTGTTAGAAGACTTGAAGACACTATACTGCTGATAGAAAATGAGATACTGCTTGAAAAAGACGAGATACTAGAAAATTACATACTGCTTGCAAAAGACTTAATACAGCAAATGACTTGATATTGCTGGTAAACGACTAGATGTTACTTAAAGAAGACTGGATGCTACTTGAAGACTAGATACTGTTGACAGAAGACATTATACTGGTGGTAGACAAGGAGATACTGCTTTAAAAAGACTAGATACTGCTTAAAAATTAGATACTACTTGCAGAAGGCTTCAACTGCTTGCAAAAGACTTGATATCGCTGGTAGACGACTAGATGCTACTTAAAGAAAACTGGATGCTGTTTAAAGAATACTAGATACAGCTTGAAGATTAGATACTGATGGCAGAAGACTTGATATTGCTGGTAGACGACTAGATACTACTTAAAGAAGATTGGATATTGCTTGAATTCTAGATACTGCTGGTAGAAGACTCGATATTGCTTGTAGAAGACTTTACAATGCTGATAGAAAACCAAATACAGTTGGTAGTAAACTAGATATTACTTCAAGAAGATTAGCTACTGCTTGAAGGCTAGATACTGTTGACAGAAGACACTATACTGATGGTAGACAAGGAGATACTGCTTTAAAAAGACTAGATACTGCTTAAAAACTAGATACTACTTGCAGAAGACTTCAACTGCTTGCAAAAGACTTGATATTGCTGGTAGACGACTAGATGCTACTTAAAGAAAACTGAATGCTGTTTGAAGAAGACTAGATACTCCTTGAAGATTAGATACTGGTGGTTGAAGACTTGATATTGCTGGTAGACGACTAGATACTACTTAAAGAAGATTGGATACTGTTTGAATTCTAGATACTACTGGTAGAAGACTCGATATTGTTTGTAGAAGACTTTACAATGCTGATAGAAGACCAAATACAGCTGGTAGTAAACTAGATATTACTTCAAGAAGATTAGCTACTGCTTGAAGGCGAGATACTGTTGACAGAAGACACTATACTGACGGTAGACAAGGAGATACTGCTTTAAAAAGACTAGATACTGCTTAAAAACTAGATACTACTTGCAGAAGACTTGAACTGCTTGTAAAAGACTTGATATTGCTGGTAGACGACTAGATGCTATTTAAAGAAAACTGAATGCTGTTTGAAGAAGACTAGATACTGCTTGAAGATTAGATACTGCTGGCAGAAGACTTTATATTACTGGTAGACGACTAGATACTACTTAAAGAAGATTGGATACTGTTTGAATTCTAGATACTACTGGTAGAAGACTCGATATTGCTTGTAGAAGACTTTACAATGCTGATAGAAGACCAAATACAGCTGGTAGTAAACTAGATATTACTTCAAGAAGATTAGCTACTGCTTGAAGGCTAGATACTGTTGACAGAAGACACTATACTGATGGTAGACAAGGAGATACTGCTTTAAAAAGACTAGATACTGCTTAAAAACTAGATACTACTTGCAGAAGACTTCAACTGCTTGCAAAAGACTTGATATTGCTGGTAGACGACTAGATGCTACTTAAAGAAAACTGAATGCTGTTTGAAGAAGACTAGATACTCCTTGAAGATTAGATACTGGTGGTTGAAGACTTGACATTGCTTGTAGACGACTAGATACTACTTAAAGAAGATTGGATACTGCTTGAATTCTAGATACTGCTGGTAAAAGATTTGATATTGCTTGTAGAAGATTTTACAATGCTGATAAAAGACCAAATACAGCTGGTAGTAAACTAGATATTACTTCAAGAAGATTAGCTACTGCTTGAAGGCTAGATACTGTTGACAGAAGACACTATACTG